TGAGCTGATTGGGATCGCAGAAGTGCATATCCATGCCAAGCACCGCCACGATCTTGAAGCAGAACACATCGCAACCGCATCGTCCGCACTGCCATCGGCATGCCGCGCCCGCCCGCCGCGTCGCCGCAGCCGCCTTAAGACACGCATGGCGTCACGAGTGCGAGCCGCTCGCGGTTCGTACGCCCGCTTGCGGGTTCAAGTGGCGGGCCATCCCGCTTGCGGGATGGCTTAGCGGGTTCGAGCCGTCACACATTGGCTGCCGGGGTGTGCCGAGGGGGGGCTGGGTGGGCGGTAGGCCGTCATTGCCCGGCGCTGCTTGCAGCGCTCTGGGTGGTAGTGGCGGCGCTCCAAGAGTGGCGCTCTTGGGAAGAGGTTCTCCACTTTCCGCTCCCCCCCCCGCAAGGCGCGAGACACAACACTAGCGGCAGCTCATGGTACGGTGCGCGGTACTTGAGCAGGAATTGCGCGCCGCAAGTAGCTTTAAATCCTTTTCAGAAAAGAAAGAAATCCCCCATGAAACTCTCTCGCAGATATTTAGGCACGGGACTGGCGCCCTGGCGCGCTCTGGCACTAACACAAAGAAAGAAAAGTATAGCGATTTCTTTGGGCGGCTCCGTGGTGTACCTGTGTGCCAGTGCGCGCCAGTCCGGTATGTATGTATGTAGAAAGATGAACAACAGTCCGGTGCCCAGTGTCGTGGGAGGTAAAATTCTTGGGCAAGCGGGACGCACGACAGACTTAGCAGTGAGGCTCGATGTTTTGGCTCAGAGCCACTCGTGCTGCGCGTGAGCTTGGGAGCTGACACGTGCTTGGCAGTAATTATTGTGGAGCGCGTTAGTTAAGGCTGGGGCACGCGGGTGTGAAAGCTGTGCGGTCAGATAGTCATATTCATCTACATCTCGACATCTCAGCCATGAGGGCCCGCCCCGGGGCGGGCGGTATGGCTGCAGCAGCGAGCTTCCAGCCATCCCTAGTCAGGATGGCTGCCCTCTGTGTATCGCAGCCATCGGGCTGGAGGCTATGGCTGCACTGTAGCTAGCTCAGCCATCCCTAGGTAAGATGGCTGTGCAGGAACGTTCACAGCCATACTGCTGTCACATTCCGAGGTTAGCCTGCACTGTGGGAGAGAGATTTCTCTTCTTTCTGTGGCGGCCTCAGTACTTACGACCATTCCTCTCCACCTCAAGGCTGCGCGACCCATCTCGTCCCAAAACTCTCCCCCATGGTGCCTGTCGCTCTGACTAAAGCCGCGTAGGGGGGGTGGAGACGACGCGTGGACGGCTGGAGGAGGCCGGAGGCCCCGGAGCGGTCGAGCGGAGCTAAAATTAGCTTGATACCTGGCTTTTCGTTATGTTCCTTTGCGTTCAGCCAGAGCGCTGGGAGGGGGCGCACACAAAGAGATCAGAGCACGGGCACGTAAAAACAAAAAGGACAGCAGCCGCTCGTCCCGCACCATTGCCACTAACCCCCGCACCACGGCGCACAGGGGCCATTCCAGAGCTCAGAGCGTCCACGCGCACGCGTCGCACACCCTCACGGGCTCGACGATGCCAAAGTCGGGCAGGCACACCTCGTGCGCCGAGCAGGCGCCGCAGACGACGCGGCCGCACGCGCGGCAGTGGTGGCGCGCACACACCTCCTGCGCCGACGAGCGGCAGGTCGACTCCCAGACGAAGGGCGCCGAGCACACGGCGCAAGCGGCGCCGTCACGGAAGGGTGCCCACGCGGGCGGAGTGCGCGGCGCGGAACGGCCGGCGCGGAGGCCACGCAGGGCGGCGAGGTACTCCCTGCCTCGGTGGTCGTTGATCATGTGCGGTGCGAGCGCGATGCTTGTCAGCGGCGGGAAGTCGGCGGCCACCCACGCGGCGGTGTACACGCCGTGGACGGGGTAGAGGTGCATCACGCGCCCCGGGATGCGCAGCGTG